CCCCAAAACCCCAAAACCCCAAAACCCCAAAACCCCTGTCAATAAATTTAACTGTTAATTTTAGTTATAACAGGAAAATGAAGTGTTATAAGACAACCAGGAACAACTTTGCTAGTGGCAAGGTCATGACTAGCAGGGGAATTTCGGGAAAGATGAACGGCAAATTACTCAGGCCAAAGCAACAGAATTATAAGAGGAATGTTCCGAAGAGACAGGAGAAGGTGGTGAATGGCCAAAAGGAGTCTAGAGGGCCTCCTTTGGATAGGTATGATTAGTGCTTTGGAATTTTGAAGATTTGGGTAGTTTTAGATGAGTTGTGGGGTAATTTTGCTTTTAGCTTTACCTATACGAATGGGATTGATGAGTTTGAGGAAGATGAGTTTAATGAGGCAGAGTATGAGAAAGTTAACAGTGGCAGAAGCACCAAAGTCTCTATTCCCTCCATTAGACCTCCAACAAGAAACAATTTTAATGACAACAAAGCAAAAATGTCTCTGCTTGTACCTGAAGAAAACCAAAGGTAAGAATTTATTTTCAGGTCATAGCAACTATTTAATCACTGAGTCATCTAATAACTTTGAATCAATGTCAGAAATCCCTGATGAGTCGATAGATGGAGAAACAGAATATAAACTAGAGAAACCTGAGTCTGAAGAATTCGATAAAAACACAGATATTTATGCCCACACCAGCCATGCTAAAGGACCTCAAGAGCAAAACCAAAGTAGGCTTCCTCAAAAATCCTTAGAATTAGCCAAATTTGATAAGCTTGAATCACGCAGAAAAGAGTCATATGGGAAGAGAACAGCAAAACCTTCCCCAAACAGGAAAAATAAGATACTTCAGAGGCTCCTCTCTAGGGAATCGTAAGCTAGCAAGCTGAGCATCTAGGATCAAACCTCAAGAACGGCCTAAGCACAGAAGTTTCAGAGCTAAGACTAACAAATCTGTCAATTACAAAAGCGTAATTTCCCAAATTTATCTGCTAGAACGATGACATTCGGAAATTAGGAGTTATCGATGAGACCAAGCACAAAGACTTCAGCTTGGCTTATAAGGCCATTTCCAAACAACTAATTGAGAACAGCATAAACCACGATGCAAGTGCGCCTTCCCTACTTCTGACAAACAGAGAGATAAAGAACTATAAGCAAAGGCTCATGGCTAAGGCTGCTGCAAAGAAAAACGATCAGTCAAAAACAGTTTATGAGAGATTGTATAATACAAATATCAGAAAAGTCTCAAAATATGTTGAAGATCAAGCAAAGGAGATAGAAGAACGAGAGAAAATGCAGACTTACTTCAAGCCAAAGACGAATAGATCCAAGTTCGGCACAAGGCGTCGATCACACAACGATTTCATAAATGACATCAACACTTTCAAACGTCGTAAGGATTTCCAAATCCAACACAAGGCGATGCGGCAAGAGATGGAGGAAAGCAAGATAGTGAACTCTTTCTTTCAAGGGAAGAAAGATCGTTCTAAATCTCCTGATTACGATAAGATCAACCACTTGTATAAGCAAGGGGTTCAGAAGCAACTCCAAAGGTCAATCTCTCCCAAGAGCAGCAAGCTATCTAGAAGTATAGTGCCGAGGATTAACAAAAGATCCCAACTGATTGTTCGCGACCAAAATGTGTCTGACATCCTATACACCGATGCTCAAAGTAGACAAGACTGTCTGCTTCAAAGGAGGCGCTCCAGTATGAGGAAGGAGAACAACTCTCCTCCAGTATCAAACGAGAGGAACACCACTAATCACTTAATCAGCAAAATATCGAGAGAGCTACAAGGGATCTGTCTTGAAGAGGATTTTGGAACTCGTGACAATAACCTCAAGTTTTTCCAGGTAGTCGTCATCCTTATCCGCATGGGATACATCTCAGAAGGACTCACAGAGACTGAGAAGAACCTTGTCAATAAGCTATGGATAATCCTGAGAGGGGAGGAACTTAACGGAATATCTGCAAGAAACTTCCTATTCTTTCTTCTTGGAATTCATAAACTCAAAGGTAGCCAACTTTACTATCAAAAAGGCAAGAAAGAGAATGCCCCGACTTCTTCAGCACCTACAAATATTTCAAACGAAGATATTGATGTTGAAATCGTCTCTGTTCAGGAAAATAGAGCAGCAAATAAAAAATCGAGTAAGTCCTGGTAGCTAATTTTAGTCCTTAACAAATATGGCAGCCAAGATCAGATCAGCAAGATTGGAATATTTGATAAAGAAAATAAGTTCTTCTTCAAGAATCAGCAAGACCAAGCTGTAGCCTCCAATTTGTTCGAGTATTAATTTAGAATAAGATTATAGCGGGTTTCTGAAGAAGAAAGCATCCATGGCTACCTGAGCTTACTTTATCGGTGCAAATCAGGGTCCTGTTGATAAACGGTATTCATACAAGCCCGAACTTATGTAAGAAACCTATTTGATTTTAATAGATCCCGCCAGAAGAAATCTGGAATCAAAGAGAGACCGGGGACAGAAAGAAGAATGTATAATTCTCTACTACATTCTCAATCATTGCTCCAAAAAGGGAAAGAGTAAGCTTTTCAAATAAATCTTAGGTACAAAAAGAATAAAGAAGAGAAATAAAAGGCAGATCATACAAGAAGAACTAAAAAAATGCACTTTCAAACCTCTCACAAACTCCCTAAACAACATCAAATCCACCATCCGCTACTCATCTCCTCTTGACCGCCAAAATTCGAACCCCTCTTCCAAAACCACTATCACCACCAATATCTGTAAGAGAAACTTCGAGAAATACATTCAAGAGAAATTTCCGACTGCCACTGATGAAGAAGCTGGCTCTCCTGGCTCTCAGGCAGAGAGCCAGGAGAAGGAGGCTGGGATTTCACTGCCAAGTTGGGAAGGTAATTTGGAGGGGTTAAGAGGGGGTTTGGGGAATGGAGGGGTAGAGGGGAGTCTGGGTGGAGGATTAGGGGTTGATGGGTGATGTAGATTTTGAGCCTGAGAGATTGGAAGGGGGGAAGACAGAGTCGCCGGTTTTGTTCCTGGATGTTAATTTTGGGAGTGATAAGCTGACCAGGATAATAATGTACAAAGGTATTTCCTCCTATCAACCATAGACGATTCTCCTGGTGAACTAGCTGAAGCTTTCTGCAGAGAGCACAACTTGAATGAGTCTAAGAAAGCGAAGCTGGAATCAATCATAATTCAACACCTCAATAGTGCTCTTGACCGTATAGAAGAAGAGCCTGAAGAATGTTAATTATTCATAATTCTAACTTCCAAATATCCTATTTTGGACTAAAACTCAATAAGGCTTGCTTCACTCGGGGTTTTGGGGTTTTGGGGTTTTGGGGTTTTGGGG